GGGCTGAGATATTGATTTTAACCTGTGTGCATAACGTTATCTCATCTCTTCGTTGCTAAATGTGGCAATCTGTAGGAAAGGTCATGTTCTCAGACCTAATTAAGAAAATCAGAAGAGGCAAATGACAGAAATGAGAAGTCCTAATAATGGCCTGACAGGGCTGCCATATTACTGCAGATAGACAGAGCCAGGCTGCGGCATGGCTGACTTCAGCATCAGATGTCAAGAAAGAAGGTAGTACTTTCCATGGCTATTGCCTCACTTATGGTAGTGATAAATTTGGTTCATTGCCTCCCTTTTTGGAATAAATAATTTATTTTTTTGGGTCTGTTTCATTCTCTCTCTTTTAATGGTTAGCTTTTAGTCTCCTGCATCTCCCTTTAATTAAGATGAAGCCTCAACTTTAGCAGTTTCATATGAGAAGAAAGTGCTGAAAAACTTAGGAAAAATTTGTGCCAATATTTAATATTTCTCTTTTTAAAAATAGATAGTAAGTAGGAAGTAAATTATCCTTTGAGCCTAGAAAAAAAAATCTTAATGCTTGGGTTAAGTGCATTTTCTTTCTGTGCATGTAGAAAGTGAATAATGGCCTAAAAAGTAAATACTGTCATGCAGATTGAATCTTTTACTAAAGTACTGGTGTTACTGCAGCTGTAGGAGGTGAACATTGCATTTTAGTTCTTTTCTAAAATTTTTCATCCTGCGTCTTGTTTGGAAGGGAAAATGAATTATTCCTTGTTTTTTATTTTTGTTGCAGGAGGTGGGCTGCACTTAATTTTTATTGCTGTTCTTTAAACAATTTGTATTTTGTTTTTTCTAGGTGAAATTTTATTTTTCGATGAATGGAATTTAATTTAATTTTGCATGACAAATGAACAGCAGCAACTGTTTTTTATTTGTGCAGCAAATACTGTAGTATCCACTGTTACTGTTCTTGGGGACCATAATGACAGAAGTAACAATAAATACTCTACTTACAACCCTTCCCTTGTGTTTTAAAAACATGGATATGGAAGTAATGGCACAAATCTTATGTTGTCTGATACAGAGCTAGAGCCAAAATATGGATATCCTGGATCCCATGTTTGGAAAGAAGATTACTTACATGGCTGATATACCAGTGCGAAATAAGGGGTGCACTGATGGTAGATCAGATCTTGCAGAAAACCAGGAGATACAGAAGAAAACCTGTGTAAATGTGCACGGTCTAATTAATGACAAATTATACATGGAAATTTACTTTTGGCAGTATTTAATGGACAAAATTATGAAGCATTCTCTTTGAATGTAAAATGCGGGTCCTGCTTTCCTCTAGGACTGAGACTGGTTTGTTTTTCTGTTATGTTTGGGATGCAGTTCCATTCTGCAAAGATTGAGTAGGAGGAGTGGAGGCAGAGTGGTTGTGTTTATTATTTTAAGGGCTTTTGACATTCAAATTTGCTCAATCAATGACTAGAGAGTTATTTCTTCTGTGTCTCAATGCTTTGAGCTTGCCCTTTGGTTTGGAGGGACTCACTACACAGTCTTCCATTTTTATGCATCAGCCGTCACTGGCAGTGAAAGTAAACCTGCCAACCTATGAAATATTTATCTACATCTCCATGAAGGTATCAGCAGTAGAATTTTTTTAATGTCATTCAGTTAAACTTCATACAATTTGAAATATATTTTTGTGTGAAATTTAGCATTTTCTGAATACTTTGCTAAGTGTTGCATATTTAAGTAAGTTCTCTCTGTAACAAAATACAGTACAAATGGACTGCTCTGGCCATATAACAGATTTCTTAGCTTTTGCATAGCCTCAAGGGAGAGTACTAATAGTTGCAACTGTGTCAGAGTAAATCAGACACAGGTAGATCTTCATGGGATGTTACAGTCCTTTCCTTGACTGCCACGTAGACATTCTTTATGGTGGTCCTTTAGAACAGACCATCTAGGGGTGCCTGTTTGGGACCCGTAGTGCAATTTCTAGCTCTTTATGAACTGATGTTCATCTATGTCCTTTGGGAAGAAGGAGATCTGGGTGTCTTTTCATCTGCCTCTCAAAGCTGATAGGAGTAGCAGAGCTAAGAGGGTGGGACACACACCAAGAAAAGTAAATTGAGTTCAGGCTCCCTTGCGTGACATCGTGGAACCATCTCTATGATAAAAGCATAAAAATAATCTCCACTGATAAGAGCATTAAAATGGACAGTAATCTGAAAGTACAGTTTTATTCTGGAGAGTAGTAATCTAAAATTATCCATTTTGAATCCAGCAGATCTATTCCAGTGAGTATTAAAATATAACTTGGTAAATCTATTGTCAAAAAGTACTGTTTTAAAGTCTTGGAGAATGATCTGGTTTTTTTCTACTTTATCATCTATGAAACAGTCCATTAAGTTTCCATTGTTTATAGCCATTTAAAATTCTGTCACTTAGAAATTTTTAAGAGAGTTATATGAACAATCATATCCCTGGGCATTTTTTGCTCTTGATATTGATCCATTTAGAATAGACAAATCCTTTCCTCTGAGGAAATCAAAGTGAAAATACTGTTAAACACTGAAATAAAAATAAATTATTTTTTTAATATAACTTTTTCTGAACTTTTACAATCTCATTGGCAATGCAGTCAGGTGAAGTATTATGAGTAATGTGAATATTAATTACACCTTTCAGTGCAACCAAATCAAGTATGTATTTTCTGCAAATATGCAAGCCTAATCCTCTCTATCTCTCTGGTCAGAATTTGGTAGAATCACTTTCTCCCAAATGACTCAGTTCAATCCCATTTTAAATTTTTTTAACAGAAATTTTTTAGTAAATTTTGCAAGGGAAATTAGGATAAGAGTACCCTGGAAACAAAGTAGTTTGCCTTGAATGTTTTAAATCTAATTTTGCATATTTTATTTTGTATTCCCACTTTTCATATCCAATTTCTTAAACTCCCCTTCTGTGATTTTTTTTTCCCCTTTCCCCAGGTATTTTTACTCCTCAATGTTCTTGTGGTTGGTTGGTTTTGGTTGGTTGGTTGGTTGGTTTGGGTTTTTTTTGTTGGGTTTTTTTTTTAATTGAGAATTAGCCTAATTTTAAACTCTTAAGTCCTTCCTGAATCAGTATTATTTTTTGGCTTTGGTAGGACTCTCACTGAAAAACAGCATTTTTTTTTTTCATCACAGTGATGAGTTTTATTTGAAGAACAGGTTTTGCACCTGTTTTGCACTATTTTTGAACAGAGAAGTTCCTGTCCTTGCCTGAGACTGAAGCACTGTGTGATTAAAAAGCTTGGTTTTGAGACTGAAGCTAAAAGCTGACCATTGCTGGAGACCTCTCAAAATATAAAAAAATTACTGTTTTACTGTTGAAGTTTGTAAAAAGGAAAAGAAGAAATGGGCATTGGTCTTAAGCGAAAAAGCCAGAAGGCTGTGTTGTAATGTCAGAATGTTTAGAATGTAGGGACTATATGTGCTTGTCACTCAGGGACTTGCATATTCAATTCTAAAACATGGTTATAATTTATAGTTTTTTGTATTTTCCCCTTTGCTTTTCCTCTCCATACTGAGTGTTCAGAAATACCTGCTTTCCCTCACCTAGAAATTAAGGCTTTTGTGTTGTGTTCTCTGAACTGGCACAGAGACTTCGCTCCAATGTTTACAAAACAAAACTGTACATGGAATGAATGCGAAATGGAAATTAACTTACTTTGTGTAGGAATTTTTGCATCAGTGGCTTGAAAATTTGGCATAGATAGTCATGAAAAGAATAGTTCACTTGCTCTTGTCTAGATCTCTGCAAATATCTGATTTGAAGGAAGACTGCTTTTTGCTCTTTTTTTCTTTTCTTTCTGTCTTTTTTACTTCCCCTCCCCCTGGTTGTGTTACATCTTGTCCAGATACTTAATAGAAATTGATAGTGTGTTCCCAGGTAACAAATTACATCTGTCTCTGAAAATAAGTGAATGTAATCATGACAAATTCATGAAATAAAGGGGAAATATATTGCTACAGTCCTGGGGAACATGAGTCAATATGCTTTATGTAATTATTTAATAAAACATTTCTTCTAGTGCATTGAAACAGCCTAAGATACTGAGACAGTTGTATTTATGCAGAAATAAACAAACTTCCAGTAAAAGCTGGTGACCAGAAGTATGCAATTATGCATTTCCAGAAATACTCATTAAACCAGTCCACTTAAATTTTAATCAGACTTCTATGTATGAAACGGTATTGGTAAGAGGAAGTAGGAAAAAAAAAAGAATTTTTATAAAAGGCTGTTCAGATGCTTCTCGTGCCCCAAATGGCTTTTAATTTTTTTATTTAACTTCTTGTGCAAATCTGTATAAAAGTTAATAATACAAAATGGCTTAATTCTGTTTTATGGGAGACATATTATTATTAGCACAGAAATGCTGCACTGATACCAAAGCTGCCATAAAAAGGATATGATTTGGGGATTATTGAGATATTTGAAATAGTTAAGCTTTGTGTAGTCCATGTGAGAAATGTCAGAGGACTGATTATCAGTGCATGAATTCTTATAGGAAAGTGAACTGATAGGAAATACATTGTTACACTGAAAAATTACAAATCGCCAGGTACTTGCAGTATTTTTTGGCCTTCCTTATTTATCTTTCTGGTATGTATGAGCTACATATTTTAATCTGTGTTTTATATCTGATGTGCTGCATAGGAATGCACAACTGGATGTGCAAAAGATAACCCGTGATTTGAAGTTTTTACAAATGTTTTTACAAATGTATCTGTAGACCTATTCAAATAACCTGAAAAGGGAGTTTAGAGAGTAACTCACGAAATGTTAGTGGATGAAGACAAGAGCGCACATATGCATCCCTGGAAAAGGTCAATAGCCTTTTTGTATTTCACAATCTCTCTTTTCAGGTGTTACCTGGTGACCATCTGTTCATTATGGATCACCTTGTGTCTTTGGAAACTGCAGTTATGAATATTGTTGCTTTCATGTTAAATTCTAATGGTCACTGTGCTTTATCCTTCTAGGGCATCAGTAGCCTCTTCAGTTCGCTTAAAGTGGTCAGGCTACTTCGGCTGGGTCGTGTAGCTCGGAAGTTGGACCACTACATTGAGTATGGAGCAGCAGTCTTGGTTCTGCTAGTGTGTGTGTTTGGTCTTGCTGCACACTGGCTGGCCTGCATCTGGTACAGCATAGGAGACTATGAAGTTATTGACGAGGATACGAACACCATCCGAACTGAGAGCTGGCTGTATCAGCTGGGGGCGTCAATAGGAACTCCTTACCGCTTTAACACATCAGGCTTTGGGAAATGGGAAGGTGGACCAAGCAAAGATTCGGTCTACATCTCCTCGTTGTATTTTACAATGACCAGCCTCACCAGTGTTGGATTTGGGAACATCGCTCCGACTACGGATGGGGAGAAGATCTTTGCTGTTGCTATGATGATGATTGGCTGTGAGTATTAGAGATTCTCTCTTACACACAATGCCAAATAGCTGCATATCATGAATACTGATTTCTTAAGAACATCTGGAATCGTGTCAAATATTATGCAGTTAAAAATATTTTTGGTGGCAATATAGGTATTACACTCTTACTAGTTAGTTTTAAATCACAAATAGGAGTATTGTTGTGACTATCAAAAATTCAGTCATTTTGGAAGGAATATTCTGTCCACATCCTTTCAATATTCTCTTCTAAGTAAACCATAAAATGTTTAAAGCCTGAACTGTTAAAAATGAATGCACCAACCTTTGTGCCTAAATTTGCTATGTGGCAAAATCTTTGTATGTCTGAGAGCTGTATATACTGGATAAATGGGTTGGTGCGTGGGAGGAGGTCAGGGAGCATCATCTTGTCAGGGAGAGAGAATAAGGGCTCTCTAGAAACCACAAACTCCACTGTGAGCTGAGCATACAAACAGATCCTAAAGCAACCGGGATGATGCTGTCCTTGGGCACCTCTGGCTCACATTTCCTTATTAGAATGGATACATATTGCCAAGCTGTCCAGCTTTTGGCCATATTGTCATTTCAGTGCAGATATGCACTCAAAGTGCCTTGAGAGCTACTTGGAGTTAAGAACCATATGGTGGCCACTGCTAAACTGGGTCATGTTTTTCTAGATAAGGGTGGAATTGGAATCAAAATAAGGAAAAAAAAAATCTACTTTGTCCATGGAAGAGATTATCATTATATGGAGATAGACACAAGCTTCTGTAGGGTAATATTGGATCCAGAGAAGGAGAAAGTCAATCCTTGCTATGCAGCAAATGAAACCCAAATATATAATGAAACTCAATTAGCAGCACAGTACCTGTTGTAGAAATATGAACCTTTCATTGTGATGTGTCATTTTACAGCAACACTGAAGTCATGTACTGAGATTATGTGTGCAGTGTTAAGCAGGCTGAAGGTTAGTGAGAAGAAGCATAAAGACAAGCATCCTTGATTGCATAGGGATTGGGATATTTTAGCTATGAAAATTGTTAATTTTGTTCTAGCTTTTTCCAGTGCCTAGAGTCCCATCATCCTCATAAAACACCCCCATAGCAGAAGGAAAATCTGTATAAAACCTGGATAAAATTGTGCACTTTGCTTATGAGAAGGTACATTAGACAATGTAGCAGTGTACCACAAAACAGGCTTCTAAATGTATTTCCTGATGAAGGTACCAGTTTAGTAGGAAATATCCTGATCTTTGATTTATTGTTCATTGGATTATGACCATGACACTACCTAGAACAAGAATAGCTAGTGTTATTCAGTATTGTTGTTTAGTACTATGAATACTGAATGAACATAACCTTCATAAAGTCACAAATATACATGGGAGTATTTTGGAGTTATACCTGTTCCAAACTCTTCATATGACAATGTGACAGAAAGAAACTGAATTTATGCATAATTAATGTTCATAGATATCTGCTTTGAATTCTGAAATTAACTTTAATTTTGTTCTGGTAATTTTAAATTTCATTAATCCAGTCACATTTGAGGGAAACAATTTTGGTTGTATCTGGACTTCTGTAACCTTTAATTTCTAACTCTGTAACTGTCTGTGTATCTAAACACCTTCATCATGTGGACAACTACATAGAAACTATTAGGACTATTCACAATATGTGTTTGCAGGAATGGCAACTAAGTGATCCAATCTTTGAGTTTATTTCTCTGGATTTTGTGGGGTCTTGGTTGCTTTCAACATGCTGAAGTTTTGAGCTGTGGTCATTCCTCCAGATGGGAGGAACAAAACAGGTTTGTTTGCAGTTATTTAGAGCTTAGCTGTTGATAGACATTCTTCCACTATAAAATTTTATGTTAAAATGACCTTATTTTGTAGAATTAAGCTCCCAAATTGATCTGAGCTTGAGCTAAGGTGATTTTATAAGAATTTAGTCTGTTCTAGTCTGATCTGGGTACCTGAAAAGTGCAAAGCAAGTGTATCAGGGGAAAGGGAAAAGAAGTTTCTTGGGTAAAGCTCTTGTGCATCACTCAGAAAAATTCATATTTGTCCATGACCAAGTAACATGCTTGTTATGAGCTGAGCTACTCACTTATAACACAGTTGGTGGCTACGTGTTCCATGGTCCTCATTTTGCAGATGTCAGATCACGTAGATTTGTGCATGGGATGAATAGGGGCTGTGGATGCCCAAAGCATCAGAAATAAGCAATATCAAATCAATTCTGATAATGTGTTACTGCCCACTAATAAAAGGAAAGGGTATATGATTTCTCATTCATACTTTGCCATTAACACAGTTTTTATTTTAGCTGCTATCTAATGATGCATTCTAAGAGGTACTGCTATCTTTCACTAGCACAGGGAATAGCATTTTCTTTCCATGAAGGATGCAGAGAGAACCAAGTGTTTGGCTATCTAAAAGTTCAGTTGTAAATAGGTGGGATTTGCTAAAGTCCAACCACAACATATTACTCCATTAACTTCTTCCCTGCTAGAGGATAAGTCTTTAAGAACTGTGTGAATTTATCTTGGGTTTGACATGTCTAGCTATAGTCTGGGCAAAAATGCATGCCTGTGTATTGAAATGGTCCTATGAAATAAGTAAAGGAATTTTACAATTTTTTTTTTATGAACTGGAAACAAAACTATCACTTTCTGTGAGCATGTTACCATTTTTATTTAGTTGAGTAAGACAATATGTTAACAAGACTGGTTTTGAGATTCCAAAACTGCCACTACAGCGTCATCAAAAAAAAAAAAAAGTACATGGGAACAAACGTATAACAGCCAGCATTAGTATTTCTAAGTGATTCCAGCAAAATTTTACTTTAAAAAGGATGGAAATTTTTAATAAGAAGGTTATTTTTTCCCTTTTGGGCTAATTAACCTCCTCTGATAAAACAGTAAGACTTTCACTAGCCTGATGGGGACAGATTTCAATGACTGGAAAGAAAATGATAACAGTACCTTCTTTTTGAGTGTTTTATCTTCTGCTCATTTGGTGTGTCAAAAAACTAGCAGCTTAAACAATAAGTAGTGGCCTGCTAAGCTTACAGTCACAATTTCATTACCAAGATCACATTTGAAATTTTGATCTTCTCTTTATTTTTAATAGAAACTGGGTTTTCTTGAAATGGAGATGGTGGTGAACATGTGTGGCTTTGCAAGGCTTTCAGGTCCTTGTTTCTAGCAAACTTGGGTTATAGTTTTGTTTTGGTTTACTGGTTGAGTATCTTGAATAATTTCTGAAGAGGAAAGTTGTGAATAGCAACGGTACTTTTTTCTTTGATCTTGGAGTCTTGTTTGTTGAACCTCTGTTTCCAGAGAGGTGTTACTGTGTAAACAAGTGATTTTAAGAGATGCACTTCTGTCTTATCCCCTAGCAAACTGTCTGAAAGGCTTTTGCTACAGTCAGCACAGGACTGTGGTGACACCCAAACAGGATGTTTGTGTCAGAAGGGCTCAGAATATTAGAGTTATTTCAAAGCATAAGCAGTTCATAACTAGTGTCCTTCCATGTATATTTGGTATGCTTATGCACAGAGAGATGGAATTAATATAAGACAGAATGTGGGTTTCTTTGCTGCTCAGCCACTGATATATCCCCTTCTGCTCACTGCTGACACCCTCTGTAAAGCTGATCCTGTGGCAGAAATACATTTGTGTTACATTAACTCTTTGTAGATCCATTGGCCACTAATAATAGTACTTTGCTATGATGTCAGATAGCTGTTTAAAAAGGTAGGTAAGACCACTTCCATTTTTTTTTATCCAATCTTTCATTATGGTAAATAATAAATCCAGGTAACTCTTAATTAAAATTTTAGTGATATGTTAGTGAAGCTGTCTTGGGAATTCTGGCTGACTAGAGTGCAAATTTTGACCTAGTAAAAAGTTTAATGTATGTAGCTTTTAGAAGGAAGTGTGGTTATGTCATGTTAGTGGTGCACAGACCCCAGGAAGGGATGATTGAGCTGTGTGTGGGTATTGAGCCTGTGGGGCTTACTCTGTTGGTTGGGTTTACACTTTGGGCAGAGTGTAAAGCATGGCTTTGTCTCAGCAGCCCTGGTCTCTGCTTCAGGGCCACCTTCTGCAGGGAAATGTTCTTGTGCTCTCAAATGTAATGACTGCACACTCTATCCTACTGACCTCATTGTGGCTGCAGTGTTCAGGGAGAAAGTGTTTTACTGTTGATGATTTTGATATGGGAAGGTGCAACCCCTGATTAGATTCATGAGGGACTGTGGCATACTCATAACCATGGGGATGTGTGGTCTGTTGCTCAGCTCCACCAGAGGGGAACGTGGGTAGGTGAAAAATGCCCTTGATTCTGGACCTCAAATAATGTACATCTGTTTGGGAAGAACAAATTATTTTAAAATAGAGATGAAGTATCCAGTGGGTGCTTTTAAGGATTTCTGTTCTGTGGAGGCTCATACTTCATATTACTATGTAGCAGCTTTTTCTGAGCATATGGTAAATTATAGTTTTGCAAAGTAAACTGTCTTCACATCTGTGAACTGACCTGCATGGTTTTGCCTCACTTTGTTTGTTGAGTGTATGTGTATATATGGAGAGAAGGATGAGTGTTACTACAGAAGTAAAAGCAATTAACTCCTCAGCTTCATTTTAAAAGAATCAAAACATATTTGCTTGTCCCTTTTCACAGATGGCCACTAAATTGCTAATTAATAGGGACTATGTCTACAGACAGATCTTTCAGAGAGGCTGATGTTACATAAAGTCAGGCTTAAAACCACTGTCTGGGTCTGTGGAAAGACATATATTTTTCATTTTTAATACCTTAGAAAAAAAAAACCCTGTTCTAATTTTTAGTTTCTTCCCTGTGGAGGCATATGCCTTGAAATAACAATTTTTGTGTATTTTGTTCAGTGATGCTGTCAGGTTGGGTTGTGTATTGTTTATTTTTCCTAAGCACTAGCAGAAATCAGAGGAGTTTCATTTGCAGTTTTTGTATCTGGGCACTGT